TAGTATATATATATATATATATATATATATATATATATATATATATAAAGAAGGCATATGTTGCCTCGGCAATGTCACTTCCTTTTCTTCTCCTCGTCGTGTTAGATGAGGAGAAGAACGTGGTCTTCTCCTCAGCTGCGGTGTTCAACGAAGGCGTCTTCGGCCTTTGCAAAGAACGCGACGAAGAAGAAGCCGAGCCGCCGCCTCTCCGTTACCTTCTGAATCGGGATCGTTGAGGGAGGGCAATGCCAGATCAAAAACCGTCGAGGTTCTCCCGATTCTCTCTCTTCTTCTCCCTCTTCTCTCTCAACGCTTCTTCTTCCCTCACCGCAACCAAGCTGATATCGCCCGGTAGCGAGCGGTCTGCGTACCGGTCTGCTGGGCGGTATCATTTAAAATTAAAATCCTTGCCAAGAACTCCATTCTTCCTTTATAATTCATTATAAGTTGCTATGCTTTTAAAATAACCATATCATTAGATATTTCATGATAACTTACTACACCCATTATGCTCTTTCAACTTAAATGTATTAAGATTGCACCTTTATGATCTGGGAGGCAATGTGTCTTAGAAACGACCTCTCTTCAGAACTCACATCGTTGGGAGCCTCGTTAACCTTTTTTATAATTTACTCTATGTTCAGGACTTGTTGGTTGGCACCTTATACAAACAAAAACAACATTGTTGAAGGTCCTATTTCTTTGGACATCTGCTGAATTGAAAGAAAATATCATTTAATTTGATTCCAACATGATGGGGTTCAAAATTTTATTGGAATCTTTACATGCTAGAATATGAGAAATAAATAATTTCTATTCATCATAATTCACAAGTTCTAACCTTTTCTTCATCTATCCAGAATCAACTTTTATATTGAGGTTTATGGTTAGCTACCCAAGTAAAGGTGATTTGAAGCAAAACCTACAACCGAGACATAATTAGATTTTGAAAAGAAAGATGATAAGAGACAATCATGTTATCTTTATATTTTATGTTCCCTTTAAAATTATTTCTTCTTTTGTGAATAGACTTAGAGTGCATATATAAAGACAAGTAAGGATTATAGTTTAGGGAAAAAAGGGAAAAATTCACTTTCATATTTGTTCAGGTATCTACAAACAAAAATAATATTTAGACCAAGGATTTTAATTTTGAATGATACGGCCCGTACCGGGCGGTACGTACCAATCCGCCAGTAGACCGATACACGGACCGCCTGCTACGGAGCGATACCGTCGATTGAGGCTGTTTCCGCCTCGTCACCACTCGAAATCAGTTGATAACGGTCGATTTCGATAGTCGCCGCCCGCTACCGAGCGGTATTAGCCGAGGGCGAAGGAAGAAGAGCAAGAAGTAAAAGGAGAACCTGAAGATCCGACGCCGCTCTTCCTCGAAGATCCTGATCCGTTGCCGCCCTCCCTCGCCGAACGCTGCAGATGAGATATCGCCTTCTCCTCGTCTGAGGCGATGAGGTCTCGGCGTCATCGACGACTTCTTATCCACGCGGGGAGAAGAAACCTCTTCTCCTCGGCTTCTTCTCCATATATATATATATATATATATATATATATACACACACACATACATATACATATACCGAGTGATACGCTAAAACATACCGCTCGGTACGCTTGTATTGTATCGTATCGAGCTGAGATCGAAACTCCAGTACTGTACGAAATTACAATCCTTGATTTGGACTGATTGGATTTTGATCAAGTAAACTAATGTTGAAAAGCCAAATTTCGTATCGGTTGCTAAATTAAAGTAGTTCACACAATAATCCAGGTCTGCCATGTATAGTTTGAATATGTTTTTTTTCTGTTTTGTGGTTTCAAATCAGCCTAAATCTTTATGATATCAAAAGGAGCACATTTGCATATGAAAAGAGCAAAACAGATATATATTTGCCTAAAAGTGAATGGCAGAAGAAAAGCTTATTCATTGCAAATTTTGTAATTGTCTAATTTTCCATGGACACGTAACTTGCTTTTAAATCCAAGAATTGAGGGAAAATCAAGTCAAAATAAAGACTCATGAAGGGACTTTATGAGAGGATGCTACAACTTAAATTTGGGTATAACCTTTTAAGGATTCCACCCAATTATTTGTCATTAGACTTTCTTTTTCATTAGTATTAAAAGGAACAAGAGTTAGCTCCAGCATTCAACATCATTAACATAGTTACCCGAATGTGAGGTTTCAACTAAAGGCTTCAAACATTAGATTTATCGGAGCCGCAGACAAACTAAACAAATTAATAGCATCTTATGGAAACTACTCTTAAAACTCACCTCTATGTTCTCTTATTATAATTTCATTAACAAGAATTTGACCCCAAAACATTGCAATATTACAGCTTGCTCTTGTATTATGTCCGTAACAAATTCTAAAGCTTTCTGTTTTACGATCTCAACCGTTACTTGTCTTCGGTTGGCAATCAAAATAAAATCACCAATCCAAATTCTTCGTCTCCATTCCATGAAAAATATTGACTAAAGATATCAAACTAAAAGCCAAAAAACACGACCATAAAACCTTGTTACTGTTATCAAGGATATGAAGCAAATTAATATATACTGAAAATATAAGCTATAAGTTGTCAAAAAAGGAAAAGATGAATAATACCTTTGCCAATAGTTGGATCTGGATAAGACCAATGCACCTTTGATATACAGGTTCAGCAAACTGAGAAAATCCTGGTCCTAGAGCCTGAGGAAAAGGATCAATGATTATAAATGGAAAGACTTAAAGATACATTCAACCAAAGAGGAGGCATACAAGTGAAGTTTGTTGCTAGCCATTCAAGACCCACAGAATGCTCCCTCAGTTTGATTGTTATTACAGTACAGAATCACATATGTTCTTAGATAACTTGCATTTGGGTGTGAGAATGTATGATTAGCTAAAATTTAGCTTTAAATTGGAACATAGACAGTTGCAAGGGCCAAGGGATAAACCATCTCTACATGAAAATTGCTTAGATTGTTCAGTCATACATATGATCCAATCACAAGCATGCATATTATTAACACACTTCATTTTTTCTGCAGTACACTCTCTTTCCAGTTTCAACTAGAACTACTGATGATGCATTAGAGAAACTCAGCTCCTAATCTGGTTCACAGCCAATGCTCATTAATCAACCATCACAAACTTCCTAAATTAGCTTCAAAGATAGATTTCTCTATGTTCTGTATACCTATTCTCTGGAGTTCCACTAACTCTTAGAGTTTCATATATTAACTGTCACCTCTCATACTAATTAAATTGAGTTTCAGAAAATATCTTACTGGGAGATCATTATTTTGATGCAACTCTTCTCTTCTGCACATAGGATTTGCAGATTTGAACAGTTAGTTTCTTGTTTCCCATGAAGTGATGAAGACAAGAATGTTATTTACACAGTCAGTCATCAATATGCACCCCAGAACCTCATGGTGGGCTTGGATTAAAGAGTGGGTCGATACATGGACCACCCCATTTCAGCCAGTCTAGTTAAATTAATAAAATATTCAAAGAAATGGTGGGAACCTTGTCCAAATCAGTGTTAAAAAGGAAAAAAAAAGAGATTAGGGCTCATGAACACAAGCCCTCTTCTCACGAAAGATGCCGCCACCTCACCATCGCCACTTCGCCATTGCTACCGCTTCACCATCGCATAAGATTCCATCGCCTCACCATCGCAAACGTGAGCCCTCTTCTCGCGTAAGATGTCGCCACTGCCGCTTCGACGAAGTCGTTACCTAGCCGTCATCGCTGCTTCCCAGGTACGCTACCGCTGCTCTTTTCCTCTTCTTCTTCTTCTTCCTTCTTCTTCTTCCTCTTCTTCCCTCTTCTTCCTCTTTTGTTCCTCCAACACCCCTTATACTTCTCCCTCTTTTTCTTCCTCGCTGAACCACCAGTATGCACCGACGTACCATGTCGGCACACCAGTATAGGCCGATACTTACCATTCCAATAGATTGCCAAATTGGGTCCGGTACCCGAAAAGGAAAACACTGTAAAATATAATAGGGCTCGTTTCATTAGACCTATATTGCTATTGCATTAAATAAAATTTTCTTCAGGTAAAATGTTTGCACGTGAGATTCCTATTAAAACATAGTCTGAATGCTATTGGTCCCTATTTTGTTCTCAGAACATGAGCACTATTGATGTGCAGAATTATGCAGAAATCGCATTAAGCACTTCAATGATTATTCCTACCACTTATATATATGGCACAAACAAAATAAAGCCATATGTTAAAACATCCATAAACAATCTCATTGATTACCTTGTAATACCTTTTTTGCTCCTAATTAGGAACTTTAATCACAAGTGAGAGTGTGAGAAAGAGTGTGAACATAAGAGAAGTGAGAGCGAGTGAAAAAGGGAGGAATAAGCGGATTTAAAGCCCCAAAAGAGAAAAAGAGTGAGAATGAGAGAGTGAATAAGAGTGAGTGGGAGTGTGTGAGGGGGGGAGGAGGGGATTTAAAGCCTCAAAAGAGGACCCAATGGTCAATTTGGTTGTTGTGGTCAAACTTGATCCAATTTGGATCGATATTGGTCAAATTCGACTAGTACCGACCCATATCGATCTAAACAACATGACTTTCAATCATGTCGATTGATACTCACCCACGCCCATACCGATGGATTCCTAACTCTTTTCTTGTGTACCACCCGAAATAGGTTGGCCTGTGTATCGATATGTACCACCCGTTTTGTACAATTTAGGCATACATCATGCATTGATTTTTCAAGTATATCTCGAAAGAGTGCATTCTGTATCATATTCTGAATTTTAAACTCTTTTTTTTTTTGTTGCAACAATTAGTTTATTCTCCCCATGTTTATTTTGGTGACTAGAGGAAGAAAAGGTAATAAAAGATATGCAAGAAGATGGGTGGAGAGACAATAACAATTGAAGGGAGATGAGAAGACCAGGGAGAGAGGCCGTCTAAGGAAAAAAAAAGTAGGGTTTGTTGTACCGATGTGTACTGCCCGATACGAGCAGTACGTACTGGTATGATACCGGTCACTTGACCTCGTATCGGGCGATACAGGGTCTGTACCGGGCGGTAATAGTCGAAATCCGACCATTACTGACTTGTACCGATCGATAATGGTCGAATTTCGATTGTTACTGATCAAGGGCTGAGATTGCGCTATTTCAAACGGTTAATTTGACTGTTTGAGGCTTAGAAAAGGATTTCTAAACCCTTTCCTCCCCCCTCTTTCAACTCAGTTCACTCTCTCAAACTCTTTTTCACTCACATCTCTCTCTTATTCTCACATTTTTACTCTCCTAAACTTAACGAAATTACGATTTGAGCAGATGCGACAAAGTCAAGGACGAACATGGCATGTATGATGATCGATTTGAGCAGATGCGGCTCTTGAGGCAAGGACGAACATGGCATGTATAAGAGCGGAGCATAGATAATGTCAAAATTTCTACTTTCGCTATTGATTTGCTGCTCCGTATCGTAAGATCGATCATCATACTATTGCTCGGAGAAGTATGACCAACTATCAAGAGCCGCCTCTAACACATGTGATTCACAACAATCAGACAATGACTATTACCACATTGATAGACCAATGGCATAAGGCGTATCAGTACACTATGTTGTAGGATCAATTTTAGGATTGGATCCGACAAACATATCATATTGATATACAGATACAAAGGATCGAGGACCCCGATCCACTAACCGTGAAATCTTATCATTCTTTTTGGTGATAGAATTAGATATATCCATCGATTAATTACTTAATTTATTTGAATCTTAAAGTTTCAATTATATAAAAATAATCTAATAATTCAAATAATTTTTTTGTAGATAATTCAATATTAATGGAAGGACGATCCGAAACATACCACAAAGCTACTCCTCAAAGTCCGAAAAAGATATATGACAATATTCTTTCTTAATTTATATTATTTTTGCTAAAATTATACTAAATTTATATTTATTTCTAACTTAAAAACCCTAATCTAACTTTTTTATTTCTCTGATATTTTTGGAGATTTTTTTGATGATTTTGGGCATACCATCGCTACGCCTTAGTACGTATAGTACCGAGCAAGGCTCGATACACCGATACAGGCCGAAATTGCAATCCTTAGAAAACAGAGTGATCTTTTAGAAGCAATTACATGAAAGAGGCCATTTTCTTTCTCATGTTAACTCTAATTTCAAAATTGACATAAATATCATCCTAAACAAATAACAAAACAGATTTAAGTTAAGAGTACTTAAGCAATTTTAGTTATACTTACAAAAACGGATCAGTTTTATTTATTAACTTGGCCGATTCATTTAGTTTATCCGAAAACCAGCTAGGTCACTCAGTTCATTTAGTTTTATAACATACTCGATCCAATAAGTAAATAGGGTCGGTCAAAAGTTCGATTTCCAGTTTTTTCGATCTTATGGCTTGTATTTATCATTATATTTCTATATTAATAATATATTAAAGCTAATGAGGTTTTCAATATTTTGGTACAAGTCTAATGAGCATTTAACAAGAATGTCTTCTCTCAAAGTAGGTGAAACCGTGAAAGACATGTTGATAAATCTTGTGAGAGTTCGACAAGGGATGCAAATGAAAATCTTCATTCTCAAAAACGACTTTTGCACCAACGAATGTGCTTGATATAATGGAAAAAAAAAGACTTGTAGCATGCATGCTTAGGAGTGTAAGTTCATAATGGGACTAAGATGAAGCACCATGCATATTAATGAGTGATAAATATTTTACGTCATGTTTTATGTGCTTGAATTGGTAGTGTTACCAACTTTTTTTTTCCTCTCATTTTATAACAACATCCAAGATAGCTTAACTAGAGTATTGTATCCACCGGTACACAGGAAATGAGTTCTTTTGGATAGCTTTTTCCTGTGTACCACCCGAAATAGGTTGACCCATGAATACCTTATTTTGGAACCAAATCTGTATCATTATATGTTGGAGTCCTGAGGAAGTGAACTTTTCGCTATTAATATCTAACTTTAAACATTAGGTAGCTATTTATAAAAACAGTAACTTTTCAACAGATTATATTATTGTTCCCTAGCCATGATTATTTGCCTCACGAAAAGAAGCGGTCAGGCAAAACTACAAAGGAGTTGAAAGTTGAAACTACTCATTTAGGAACTGACCAATTTCCCAAACTACAGATTAAATATGCCATATGAAATAGTGGTTGCTTCCCGTCAAAGGTTCAGTATGTCCATGTAATTTGACATAATATATGAAATTATGAACTATGAAACATTAACACCAGATGCATGTCTTTTCAGCCTCGAGACTTTCACAGGATGGATCAAGAGATTGTTCAAGTCATGATGAGATTAAGAAAACTAAAAAATATGCAAAACATACCTGTGAAATGGATGTAAAACATTCAAGCAATGGGAATAGATCTTTGTCAGAGTTTGATAGTTGTTGCCACTTGGTGATCAATGGAGGCATCAATATGTCAAGGTATTTTGGCTGCAGATTAGCATCATATCAAATTAGCATGCGGATATGATCTATCCATAAAGACACAATATGAAGAAGCTATTCCTCAATTCAACTCAAAATCTCTGTGACAAGGAAATGATACAGAAAAAACAGGCTTAATACTGCAGAAAATTATAAAACCTGATTGAGCTCTGAACCCACTGCATCTGCTAGAGTACCAATGGCATCATAAAGAATTCGTAGGTTTCGTCTCTATATAAAGAAAATATATATACAGTGAATGGGAAAGAACATCCACTACATACAACATCTTCTGAACAAATTCAACCCATGACAATTTCTAAACTAATCATTAGCATCAGAAGAAACCTGATATTTTCCATAGGCACATAACAGATGATGCAAAATGATTTCCAAACGTGGGGCCAATTCATCTGCTGCCTCCTGCCAGGCGTAAGACTCAGCGGTAAAGAAAAGAATTTAAACAAAGTCATCAACCAACAAGCTCAACAATAACCTCTTCAAGTGTCGCAAAAGCAGAGCATGCAGCCTCTTGCACACGTTTGTTGGTGTCCAATATCCTTCTGAGGAGTCCTGTTAGTACTTTGTCAAATTGTTCATAACCATCTTTGTGACCAATACTCTGCATTAGCAAGGAAACATAAACAAGGTGCACACATGCTTGTTTCAATCTTGAAAGAAGATAAGAAAGAAAAATCATAAGCAACACAAATATGCAAAATTAACTATTGAACTCACTACCAAAAAAAAGATAACTTCCAATCATTCCTCGCTGAAAGCAAAATCAAGAAGTATATTGTAACACCCCCAATTAGTCCCACGTCGGAAGTGGGCAAAGACTAAGATTGGCTTATAAGGGTCTGATGAGTGTACTACGATAACTCCAGCTTAAGCATTTTGGTCGGTGGTTTAGACCAAAATGGAGTTATTTGCCAGTTAACCCATCAAACTCGGGTCGTGATATTTTGGTATCTAAACCGACCTAGTATTTGGGCATGGTGAGAGGGCTCGTGACATTTTAGTATTAGAGCCGACCTAGTATTTAGGCATAGTGAGAGGGCTCGTGACATTTTGGTATCAAAGCCGACCTAGTATTTGGGCATGGTGAGAGGGCTCGAGTAGGAAAAGGCTACCAATGGATGGAGTCATAGAAGACGAGGACGTCAAGCTAATTGAGTGGGGAAAATTATAACACTCCCAATTAGTCCCACATCGGAAGTGGGCAAAGACTAAGATTGGCTTATAAGGGTTTGATGAGTGTACTACGACAACTCCAACTTAAGCATTTTGATCAATGGTTTGGACCAAATGGAGTTATAGGCCAGTTAGCCCATCAGACTTGGGTCATGACAGTTATTGTACTAAAATCCCTTAACACTGTGCATGGCCTTAACACTGTCATGTGAAGGTTGTTCCAACACACCCTTAACACTGTGCATGGCCTGTGTTGATTGGCACGGACCTTGCCCCAAATGGTGGTAGTAAAACTAAAATCCTTGGTTGAAAGCCTTTTCATTTGGTCATATCATTCGAATTATATAATTGTAATGGATCTAATATAATTGACGTTCAAGTCTTTAGTGCTAGAACTTCGGTGATGGAATATATTTGAGATTTTTTTTAGGCACTAATGAAAATTATATGAGGATATTGTGATTCAAGCCACTCTAGTTAGTGGGATGTTCTAGGAACAAGAAGTAGAATGGTCTGAAGTGCAATTAAACAATCTATCCACAACAAAGGCAGATAACAGGAATTTCACATGTGGCAACACATTTGATCAATTTGCCTTATGTGGAAATTCTCATTTCTTTTTGTTGTGAGAGTTTCATGATTTATATATTGTTTTTAAGCAATGAGATCCCTAATAATCAACAAATTTTCCATGTGTGTTCTGAAAATTGTTGGCTTTGCATTTTTTATTTTTCTACTTCTCATGTTTAGCCCTTGGAGATATGTTCTCATAGTCCACATTTGGGGACAATGATTCTTACAGCTAACTCAATCCTCATAAAGCAAATAGTATTGATTATTAGTGTCAAACAAATTGATCTGGCATTGACACTAATTGGATGGAGTGGATCCACTGTGATTAACAATGAATCAAACAAATTGATCTGGCACTGACACTAATCCAAAAGAAAGTTAAAGGAAAAAGGAGGTCATTTGTCAAAGGTATCCAATAAAGCTGGAGTAAGCTGTACCTGAACTATGAACTTGCTAAAACGAGAAAGTGTCCAACAAGTGATACTCCGTATAAGTGGAAATTTATCATCCAGAAGTGGAATGAGAAATGCAATAATCTGTAAACAGAATAACAACAGCACATCGGTTATTCAAATATAGGGGGAAAAAAGTCTCTAAGATGAACTGCAGTTCAGATTTACAAAGATATGACACCATTATGTGTCTGACATTACATAACAGAAAAGCACAATACCATGTGTAACTGGAAAATACTTCAAAAGTCTACGAGTTAACACTAACATAAGCAAGCCATACTAAAAAAAGTTGAACTTGAGAGATTTTTCACTCAAGTCCCACAACCAAACAAGCAATTATTTAATTGTCATGGTTGCTAAAAGCCTAAAACATCCAAAACCAGGCATAAGTCTGCAACTTGAAGAAACATAATGAGACATAATGTTCTGGACATAAAAGACAGTAGGTTGATGCAGGTCATCCACATTCTGTCTTTAGTTTCCCTGCCATTTGTCTATTTCACAATAGACTCTAGTATAAACACGTAGAGCCAGTATAACCGACCAAAGAAATTTTGTGAGAACTGCATAAGCAGACTTCTAGTTGTGCATTGTAAAGTGTAAACCACTCACAGGTTTTCATCTGATAAGTGAGCAGCTGATTACAATGTACCTTCCTTCTAACTCCCATCCCTAAATAAGGAAAAGAGAAGTAGCTTTCATGCTTTAGTCTTTGACTCTTTTATTTAGTCTGATTATGCTTATAACAAGGACTTCAATGAGTTTAGGTGTGTCAAGTGCACGTAACAACTACAGCCAAGCCACCAAATAGCTACATGATGCAAATGATAATTTACAAAATTACAACTAATTCATCAACTACTCCAAAAGAAACATCTGTGATAATTTACAAAATTACAACTAATTCATCGACTCGAGTTACAGTACTGCAATTGAGAAAAGATATTTCATGCTAATATTCATATGATTGTCCTTCATTACATGGTGAAAGTATTTTGTAAGCTCTTCTGCTCAGGATCACTTGAAAACTGCTTTTCAAGTCAACATGCAAAAGAATATCTTTGAAACATGGAGCAATTCCAATCACATTATCTTCTCTCTTGACTGCTGATGCAAAATATATATGAGACCGCAGATTCTGAGATGATCGAGAACATTGTTGCTAACATCTAGGCATCTGCCATTAACACACAAGAAATTCTTCTGCTAATAATATTTTTTTGCAAAGGGTAAGTGATGAAGGCAGGATTCGAGTCCAATCCTTGCGATAAACTGTCAAAATCTCTACCAGCTACGATAGCTAACACCTTCCAAAAAAATATATCGGATGAAGTTTCAAACTCTCAACTTTTGATAAGAGGATCTGGCACATCATCACCAAATCAATGTTTTAGATATAAAAATATGATGGATCAGAATCATCAGATTTCGAGCTCTCAACCTTTGGTAAATGAGTCTAATACACCACTACCAGACCAATGTTTAAGATATTGTTGATGATACTTTCTAACTAAACTAGTTGTGGCTAGTGGTGTAATAAGTTCTTTTTATTGGATTGAAGTCAATGAATAGTATTTTGCTAGTTTATTTGCCAGAGGTTGTTGGTGCAAAGGGATAGACAATTATTTTCAGGATTGGCAAATGCTTCATGATCCTCATTCACGGAATCTTAAAATATAGAGATAGTGAGATGCATCCCATAGATCACAAGGAAATCCACCAGACTCATTGCAAAGTCAGCAAAACAAATAAATCTTTTGATATGGCAACAGTAGTATCATTATATTTCAGTGACAAGTTCCACATCATATCTCCTGGTAACCATCGCTTCACATAAGGACATAGTAGCTTGAAGAGGTTGATTGCTAGCCTTGTTTGTGCCTCTCACTATCATTTCATCTGCCTAGAGAATCTCAAGTTGAGATAATTAAACAAACTAACACAATAGGAATACAAGCTGGTCTTATCAACCAAATGTTTAGTTATCAAGCAGAGTTATAAACTTACAATTATAACTGGCATCATCTGAAAATAACAATTATATAGGACATACTAGTTGCCTGCATGTCATTTCCACTGTTTCCTAGAAGACTATACTGATCAAGCAAGAAATCTAAAAGTTTTTACATAAAAGTAATGACAAGCTTATACCATTAAAAAAAATCAGTCATGACACCTAACATGAAGATTCCCAACTGCTAATATCTTTCTAGCATTAATTAAAGCACAAGAAGTTGAGACAAAACCAGATTAAGAAGCAATAACATTAAATAACATTTTGTTTATTTGAATATGGCTGAATAGTGTAAAACCTCCTTAGCTAGCTAGAAAAATGTACCTCAGGAAGATGGGGATAAAGTCCATTAATGCATCCCTCTGCAATGGCCCCAATAGCCAAAACAGCAGCTTCCCTCTCCTTCCAATTAGAGTCACTTGTAGCTGATAGCTTTTGCTGCAAATGTCAGAAGAATACAAGTGCATGCAAATTATTAGAAATAAACAACTTCTGAAGGATCAGTTATTAACTTCCATGTATATTAATGCTTATATGATTATTCACTAATGCATGCTGTGGAAACATTAAAAGTTCCAATAACTGTATCCTGATAGAATTATAAGTTACACATAAGATTCTAAAGCTGTACGATGCAGCCTTTGGCTATTTTGGCCAAATACCGTTAAAAGTCATCTCATTGTATAGTGACGAAGCATGATATGTTCTTCAGGCAATATGAAGATCATCAATCTTCTATTTACAAGAATCAAAACTCCAAGACTCGTGACTCTTTACTTTAATATATCTGTGCTAGGAGCTAAGACTGAATTCACTATGAGACCCTCTGGTGGTATTTTCATTGAATGGGAAAAATTAACCTTCTACTGATCATTGTAGCAATGACTAATTATCTACTGAACTATCAAATTATTCAAATTTCCCAAGACTAAAAGAAGGAACCTTCACTAGATCTAGGTCTAGTTCTCCTCTATTAGAAACTAGTCCTTCCAGTTTCAAAGTATTTGAAGTGACTTCAACATCATCCAATTCCTCTTTGAAAGGAGCTTGGACCCAACTTCATCACTGGAATTGGGGAATTATAATGATTTCACTGGAAACAACTTTATCGAGCTTCATATCTCATGAAGGAAGTTCACTTGGTCAACTATGAGGTCTTACCTTGTTAAGAGTTTCATTTCCCATCAGAAGGGATAAATATATTAAATACTTTCATGCTATTGCTAAATGGCAGAAGTCTAATTTCAATTCCTTAATCGAGGATGGAAATGGATATGTGAAAAACCCATAGAAATCCAAAAGTTAGTTCTTACTTTCTATAAGTTTTCTATTACCCATCCCTTGATTGGGTCAGAATACCTCAAACTAATCCAGATCTCTAGCTAATCTCAAAATGTCATTCTCAAGAAAACCATCTTTTCCCTAGGTCTGATGGCTTCTGTATGGGTTTTTTACAGGAGCTTTGTGATCTAATAGTTTTGAGCAGGGTTCTCAATTTCAATGTGTACTGCCCGGTATGGGTGGTACATACCGGTCCAAGAGGATATTGATACGTGGACCGCCCTCTACCGAGCAGTACAAGTGTTTTGATCCCATATCGAGCGATATGGGGTCTGTACCAAGCAATAACGATCAAAATCTGACCATTACCGAGACGTACCGGTTGATACGCCTCGAATTTTGACCGTTACCAAGGTGTACCGGTTGGTACGCCTCGGATTTCAACCATTATCGAGGCATACCGATCGGTAAGCCTCGATATTTTTGGACTGTTACCTATAGGTATTTTTAGAGGTTTTTTAACTCTTTTTGGGCGTACCATAACGAGCAGGACTTGGTACATCAAAATTGAGAACCTTGGTTTTGAGATCTTATTAAATAAGCCGCCTATACATCTTTCAGCAAATCTCTCAAAAATTTAACTTGATCTAGAAATTTAATCCAGTCATTATACTTGAGAATGAAGATATCAATGTGAGCCAACTTAGATCAATTGACCTATTTAACTACAACCATAAAATTCTGCAAAGCTGGACAGCAAATTAGTTGCCCCCTGGTGAACTTGATTCGTCCTAACCAATCAACATTCATCGACCGTAGAGGCCTTGTGAATTGTTTCATGACAACTCACAAAAAGATTCGCCTCTATACAAAAGATCATACAGAAGACCACTTCAAGAAGGCATTTGATAAGGTTCGTTGGCACTATTTGTTTGGGTTTAGATATTAATTTCTCCATGAGAAAATTAAACCACATTGGGCATAATTTTGTTAGGGGGCATCTACCAGCTACAATTCTCAAGTACAAAGCATCAAACTTCACCTACAATAATATCTTGGTCTCCCACTCAAGCTTGAAAGATTGCTGCTACCTGACTGGATGCCATTTTGTGTGTGCTAATCTTCCATCCATTTTTGTCTATATTCCTCTTTCATTCTTGGCTATTAAAGAGCAGGGACAAGATAAGATGAACCTTCTTATGGACAGACCAAAAATCTATATAAAGCGGCAGGTCCCTAGTTAATTAATCAGTAATCTGTAAATCAAGGATCTGGATAGCATTAGAGTTATCAACATAAAGGATTTTAACCATGCTATTCTGAAAAATGGTGGTGAAGAAATTTTCAAAATGTTGTTGCACCTTTGAGAGAACTCATACACATATTCCAGGATGAGAAAATGACTCTAATAATAACATAATGAAGCACTGATTTTTCAGAGGAATGCACTCTGTCAAACGGTCCCTTTGCATCTCCTCACAATTTATATTGTGCAATGAATGAAGTATTAGATTACAGGAGGATTCTTAGGTGGGACCCTTCGCTAGGAGCATCTTTATAACAATTGGGGCTGATACATGCTTGCATACATACCATACTCTCATCTTTATAGGGAAAACTTTTCCCTATTGATTGTAGTTAATTTTCCTTTTCACTCTTTTCTTCTCTAGAATAACCCATCTTCTCTGATAAGGATGAGATCAATCTTGGAAATAGAATCCTCCTCAGTTGCATCCTTCAACAAACTCCTCAACTTTGGGGGTTGTCTTTTCCCCTTACAAAACATACATGGAAAAGGGTGAATAACTCAAGACAAATGTTTTGTAGCTGGCCATTAAGAAAAAAAAGTATAATCCTTTTTCCCCCCTGATGGGGACAATGAACCCTTTGTCACCAAAGTATATCTTACTAAAGAAACGTCTCATGGGGACAAGATGGCCCTTGTCCTCTTTCCCCCCTGATATTGCGACAATGAACCCTATTTCCGCTCTATTGGTGCATGGGTATCTATCAAGATTTGGAGTCTCTTCCTTTCACCTTGGTGTAGTTCCTCTGTTCTTTAACCTTTTTTCTTCTTTTGTCTAATCATTCTTTTCTAATATTTCCCTTTTTGTACTCAATCCACCATCTTAATTAAATAATATTGGAGATAAATGAGTTTTCTTTAAAATCTACCATTTTCAGTATAATTAATTACCTGCACAAAAGCCTGCTCTTGCACTCTCACTACCAAATAAAGTTTAATGGGTCAAACAAAGTTGATCAAAATTAAAATTATTTAAGGAGTTAGTGCATCAAAATATCCTAACAGCCCAAACTGAATCAAATGCTCTTTTACAATAACCAGCTAATGCATAGATAAATTATGTGATTACCTGAATCAAAGGCATCAAAGTTGGAAGAATTTCATCTCCAAAAACATTTGAAAGGATATCTAGTCCAGCTGCGCTACATTTCCTCAAATTCCAAGTGTTGACTGTATCCTCGTCCTGTAGACAACAGCAACAAAATAAAACAAAAATAAAACTCAGAAAATGTTGATTAAAAACATAGGAATCAAATGGCAGTAATTTCCATCTGCATCCATATAACACTGGTGGTGGCTGTAGAGTATGACAAAATAGAGTACGAAACATGAAAACCACAAGCTTGAGAAGATACATCTTCCATATTATCAGATCCATGGAAGCGTGATGAATGAAAACGAGGCTTCAGATCCTGTTAAGAAGATAATTTCATATCATTTACAAACAAGTCAATGGGAGTTTAAAATTCAATGACAAACAACCAACTATCAAATAGCGCTACCAAGTTGTGCAAATCCTCTCAACGGAAAATAAATACCTGATCTCTATCTGGAAACGACTCATCTTCCTACAAGCAAAAAGACAATATTAGGAATCCAATTTACCACACAGGAGTTCAACGAAAACACAGAACAAGCACCACTAACTGAATCACAATATAAAATGAAGCACACCTCGGCATCAAAAAGTGTCTCATCATCATCAGCATAGGCCATATTCAACATTAATACCTACAGAATTTTTTGCGTAAAGCATAGCCATTACTAATGCAAAATAGAAATACATTTTTGAATTGTCTGCTGATAGGAACACAAGATATACTGGAATCAAGCGTGGCAAATACTCTCTTAAGGAATCTGGAGGCAAAGTACCATCACAATATGCAGACCTGAAACACCAGAATCATGAAAAGTCAGAACCAGCCAAATTTTTTTCTCTTCCTTATGCTTGAAGAATAACATATAACTTGGTCATAATTTAGATCTACAAAGCGAAAGATGCACAAAGGAAATTCAAATCCAAGCACATACTCAATATCTATTCGTGGATATAGTGCCTTATCTTAAACTTGTGCCAACCAGTCAACATAATCTCATTTTCTCTTCCAAAAGGTAAAAAATAGATCAGCAAACACTAAGAAATCTGTTTGTGCACAATCCCTGAAGGCACATAACTCAAGTCCAAAATTACAAGTGAACTATAAATCACTTGAAGCAAAAAAAGTAAAAAAACAAAAAGGAGAAAAAAAACAGTTGAGCATCAATGTTGTTTACCTAACCAAATCAGACAACAGCAATAGCAAAAAAAGAAAAGGTAAATCCCCTTAGTTGCTTGTAAGTAATTTTTAGTTTATTACAACAGAAACAGTAAGTGAATGCAAGGATTGAAATACCGTACCGTACCGGTGTTTCGAGCTTGGCTTGGTACGGTACGGTACCATGTACCGAGTGGTATGCCAGGGTGTACCGAGCGGTACACCTAATTTAAGTGTAAAATCATCCGAAAATATCTGAAAAAAAAAAAAAGAATACATACCTCTAATTAAAGAAAGAGAATGCATACTTCTTGATTAGAAAGTTCTTCCTCTTAATCTTCCCAAATTAGCCTCGATTCAATTCACAAATCGTTGTTTTGTAGAATTTAGGAGAGCACAAATGTGAGAAAAAAAGAGTTATGAGATAGTTTAAAAAAGTATAAGAGTGAAATAAGAGAGAATAAGAGTTTAAAAACCTATGAGAAAGGGCTCCAATGGTCAAATTGACCATTGGAGCACTGTTACTAAGCGGTAACGATCGATTTATGTTACTAAGCGGTAACGGTCGAAATCGACCGTTACCGAGCTGTGCCGGGTGGTAACAGTCGAAATTTCAATCTTTACCGCCCGATATAATCCTGTATCGTATGATACGAGGCGATGTTAAGCGTTCCGCCCGGTAGCAAGCAGTCTGCGTACCGGTATACTATCGGACCGATACGTACTGCCCGTACCAGGCGGTATTATTCGAAACTGTATACCTTGAGTGAATGTACACAAGAATATATCACATTGGCAATTGACTTCAAAGATGACTTCAAGTGCAAGTCAATTTCCTTTTTTCCATTTGCAGCAAAAATATTGATAACAAATAATTAATAAGAAGCTCGTGTATCATCCATGGATAATGAAAAGCCAGATGCATTTTGCTAGCTCACAATCACACAGTACAAAACCCACTGAACATACCAAAATTCACAAGCTTCGAGAGAAACTTCATCATCAGGGTCCTTATTGGCTTGCAAGAGATACTCGATTACATTTCTCAAATGGGGCTGCAATATCCAGGTCAATTATTACTTAGAGACATAATCAACAAAAAGAAAACAACAACATGCACTAGCAAGCTTATATATATTTGGAGTCTCTAATTGGAAGTATGAGTCCAATATACCAAATATTGGAAACTAATATAAATTTAGCTCATTAATTTTATAAGCATGGAAAACTTGAAAATCTTGCAGTACTGCTTACCAGAGAAACCAAAATAGGGACAAATTCATGATTTGCTGCAGGCTGTAGCAAAGCCTGGATAATCATGCTTCATATCTCAATGCATGGTTTGCAACACTGTACCATACCGCTCGGTACGAGTAATACATACCGGTCCAATAGAGGGCAGGTTCGGGCGATACATCGGTACACCTTAGTGTATCATGTTTCGATACATTCGGTACAGCTCGGTATGTACCGTACAGACAGCTGATCAATACACCGGTATGGTACGGTATTCAGAACCTTGTCTCAATGTGTACAACAACAAGATTGTGCCAGCAGGTATGCCAACCAATATGTCAGCATTCTGCACCATGCCCATATCTCAGTGCCCAACCAAGAGAGGGCAGTAAAACCAACATGGGAATCCATGGACGCAACAGCAAAAAGACCTTATAATTAAGCAAAAAGTTTCACATACCTCCAGGAATGATGGTCGAACTTCTATTAGTTGGACAAAGGCAGAACAGACCTATGTACCATAGGAAATAATTACAGATCAGAAAGCAAGATGACAATGTTAAAGGTAACAAATAATTCTATATCATCAATGAATAGTGTGTCAAAAAAATGAAAAATAACAGCAAAATCTGCTCTAAAGACAAATATCAGTGTGATATTTTTAATTTTTTGTCAACAAGAATGTCATCAATGTGATTCATCCAAAATCCAACCGTTACTAAATTCTGCACTTCCGAAACTCATAATCCATGAGTCAATAGTATAAAACTTGATGAAAAATAAACAAAAACATTAAGAAAGTTAAAAGTCAAGTAACAGACCAGTTTTCGCACTTCTGCAGAAGGGTCCTTAGCGAGATGAAATAAACCCTGAAGGTACTGATCCATGGACATAAACAAGGCCTGCATAACAGCATAAGGATTTAGATTACATCAAGAAGACAATAATTTAGTTTTGCAAAGGCTTAAAACAACTTTAATGTTATCTTCTACTTACTGCAGGCATGACTACAATAAATTGATTGATAGAGCCCAACGATAGCTTTCTCAATATGGCATGTGGAGACTGGAAGAACTGAACCAGAGACAAGAAAGAAACATTTTTTTTGCTGACTGTAAGGTCCCAGTCACTAAAGAAAACCATAGTCTACAAAAAAAATACAAATTAAGGTGAATTAAAAGGTAAAACTACCTGCAGCAATCTTGGCATAAAAATATTGATGGGGCGTTCAGATAATCCTGGAACATCCACATCAAGCTCTTCGGGGACATCCTCGCAAATCTATCATAATGAAGTAAAGGTAATTTTTAGTTTTATATGGAAAGTATATAACTCTTTAGGGGGAAACTTAAAATGATACAAACTTCACAAGTTGCAAACATGATATCTTAATTTCATAATACTTTTATGGGCAAATTTTCATAAGGTGTTTTTACAAATAAGGTTATCCAATTCATAAAGAAGCAAGAAAAGTCTAGTAAGGAGCTACAAGGGCAGGAGTTGGTAGCTAAGCATTTTAGAGTAAGCAATGCTAAGATTAAGCATATTAGGTAGTTTTTAGCAAGCTCTCTGTCACTATAGGCTTACACCAAATATCCATTTTATGTTTTCATTTTTTTAATGCCTGTAATGGATGACTAGGCATATTCAGGATAAACTTCCTTATATTTGTTGTTCATTGATAATATTTTCTGATTGCAGTTTAGTTGATATTATTACAGAACTTAGGTTATGAAGATAAATATTAGAAACTAAGGATTTTAGTCTTTAGTTTTTAGCAAACTAAGAACTTAAGTTTTTAGCAAGCTCTCTGTCACTATAGGCTTACATCAAAGATCCATTTTATGTTTTCATTTTTTAATGCCTCAAATGGATGACTAGGCATATTCAGGACAAACTTCCTTATATTTGTTGTTCATTGATTATATTTTCTGATTGCAGTTTAGTTGACATTATTACAGAACTTAAGTTATGAAGATAAATATTAGAAACTAAGGATTTTAGTCTTAGTACGACTAGAACTGAATATATGAAAAGAAACTTAAGAGCAATGCTTTTAAAACCGTACCATACCGCCTGGTACACGAACCGCCCGCTACCAGGTGGTATCAATGATATAGCCCCGTATTGGACGATACAGGGTTGTACCAGGTGATAATGATCGATACCGACCGTTACTAGTTGTAATAGTGCTCCAACGGTCAATTTGACCATTGGAGCCCTCCTCAAGGGTTTTTAAATCCTTTCCTCCCTCCTATTTCAATCAATTTCACTCTCTCACTCTCATGCACTCACTCAAACTCATTTTTTCTCACATTTTCATAATCGTAAACTCAACAAAGCAACGATTTGTAGATTGATTCAAATTTAGGAGGCTAATTTGAGAGACTTAGGAAGAAGAACTTCTTAATCAAAAGGTATGCATTCTCTTTTTAGATTTTTATTGATTTATGAGATAATTAAGCATATTCTATGTGATGTATGACTTAATGTCTAATATGTTGTTTGATATGTTTTTGGTGGTAGAATAGTATTAATTAGGGAGTAATTAAAGTATTTAATGTTGTGATTAGCATATTTAATATTGATTTATTCGAAATTAGACACTTAATAGATCAAATGTTTATATTTCATACATATTATATATTGGATCATGTGTTTGTAATGGTATCATAGGTTTAATTAGGTTTTACTAAAATTATTTAATGCTGTGATTAGTAATTTTAATGATGATTTAATCGAAATTTGATCGATATTAGGTCAATTCAATGTCTTTAATGCCTATTAGGGTGTTTGACATGTTTATAGTGTTGAAAGAGAAGTAATTAGTTGGTAATTAACTATGTTAATCGTGTGATTAGTATATCTAATGATGATTTAATCAAAATTTGATCGATATTGGGTTAATTCAATGTCTTTAATACCTATTAAGGTGTTTGACATGTTTATAGTGTTGAAAGAGAAGTAATTAGTGGGTAATTAACTATGTTAATCATGTGATTAGTGTATCTAATCATGATTTCATCATAATTTGATTTATATTGGATCAAAATTACATATTTAATGCTTCTTTTATATGTTTCATATATTTATGATAGTAAAATAGGTCTAATTAGCTTTTAATAAAGTTATTTAATGCTACGATTAGTGGTTTTAATGATGATATAATTGAAATTTGATCGATATTGGGTCAATTCAATATCTTTAATACCTATTATGGTGCTTTACAAGTTTAAAGCTTATTTGATTTAAATTGGTACGAACATTGTACCAAAGAAACAATCATATGATGATGCATAAACTCATGCCCAAAAGATGGATGGGAATCATCATCATTGGCAATGTTATTTATTGTGACTAAATTGGCAAGGGTGGAGGAATCAGTCGGGTGAAGATGCATTTGGCTGGCGTGTATCCCAATGTTACAAAATGTAAGACGTTCTGACGGAGTTCCGTAAATCATTTCAAAACAAATTATAACAAGCAAGAGAAGATACAATTAAGCAAGAGTTGGGAAGAATACTGTAGGGCTACGCAGGAATCAGTTTATGATGAGTATGAGGGTCGCAACGATGAAGTCGACCTGGATCTCACAACTGGTATTCGTGCATCATAGGAGCATCAGTATATGTACGACAAAGCAATGAGGTATCGATGACCTGACTCACAATGGGAGCATGGCGATGGCAGTAGAATCCAGAGATCGACCAGCATGAGGCAACCAACTGCCCCTCATTAGTTAAGCCGAACTAGTAGCATGAGGCATGGTGGACTCTGTGGTTTTATAAGAGGTCTTGGCAAGAGGTCCACACCAGATATTAAAAATATCGATCCGCAAGCCTATCATTCACAAATAGCAAAACAAACACGGATTGCCGATGCAAATACAAAAGAAAAGAAGCAAGATATTGAAAATGCAATTTCAAAATGGTTCAACTTCCACAGAATTCTAGGAAACACAACCCAAGGTCCATATTACCAAAGCATGATCTCCTATATTCAAAAGTCTTGCATAGGGATCTAACCTCCAACACTAAGAGAGATTCATGACGTGTATTTAGATGAGGAGGTGGCAAAGCTGAATAATTTGATCAAATCCTTTAAGAGACAATAGGACGAATATGGGATGATACTGATGTGTGACAGTTAGACAGGGCCAACAAGAATGAGTATCATCAACTTTCTTATTTATTGCAACAAATGAGTGGTGTTTCATAAGTTAGTTAATACTTCTAACAAGATCCAAGATGCAAACTATATTGAGAGCTTGATGGAGACCATAGTAGATGAGATCGGACCACAATATATTGTCCAAATAGTCACCAACAACGGAGCGAATTTCAAGAAGGCCGATTTGTAATTGATGGAAAAAAGAAAAACATTATTTTGGACTCCATGTGCAGCTCATTGCATGGATATAATGCTTAAGGATATTGGTGAGCTGGACGCGGTCAGTAGATGTGTAGCTCGAGCACAGTCAATTACAAAGTTTATATATAATCGTCATTAGGTCCACTCTTTAATGCAAAAGTATGTAAATGATGAGATACATACTTATATGTGGCACTATTCTTACCTAATTTATATTAGTTTTGCTAAAACTATAGTAAATGTATATTTATTTCTAACTTAAAAACCCTATCCTAACTTTTTTTTTTCTGTTTTTCAAGTATTTTTGGAGGATTTGATATGTATTTTAGGATACCGCTTGGTACGCCGTATCGTACCATACCGAGCAAAGCTCTGTACACCGGTACAGTACGATATTTAGAACCTTATTTGAGAGGTAAAACGAAATAAATTTTTGGAGAATAAAGAGTTCTGTTAAAATTAATGGGAAAAAATTCCTATAAGTAAATAGATGATAAAAAATGAAAACATGATCTAGAACCAAAACTCATACTATGAGACAATATCATCTACACCTTAATGGTATGTATACACTAAATTGTTAAATTTGAGTTATCGGCACAAATAGTAGATCACCACAGCAATGCAATAGGAAAAACAAGAAAGCATAAGTAATACAACATGAAAATTAAGACAAACAATGAAGAAGCAAATTATAAAATAGAGCAAACTCAACATAGCAGCAAGAAAAAATGAAACAAAGAAGGAGAGGGCAAACCAGTAGAATACGACAACATTACAATAAATAAAAAATTTGAAACAAAAGAAAATAATCAACAAAATAGCAATCATTGCCCATTCATTATTATTTGCCATTCACAACGTTGGAAATCCTAACAGAATAAACAATAAATTTAAAACAAAGCAACCAATCTCATGATCTTATATCTATGAAGTAAATCCAGTGGTAAGCATCAATTTGCACCTTTTTCAAGGTCGATCAAATTTTCACTTCAATTAGCATAATATCATGTAAAGTCTCGATCCAAAATTATGATAAGCTGTTTCAACAATTTCACAAGCATACAATATATTCCTATGGAAAATAAAATACAACCAACAAAGGACATGTCATGTCGGCTCGTGTCACTCTTAGTTCAAACAAGGAACTGCATGATGGTCTCTTGTCACTGTAACCATACTAGTTTCACATGTAGATAAACTCAAGGATTTTTGTGCAAATTCACCAACGTTAGCATGGGATGAAACATCCTGCATTAATAAGTTATTGGCACAAAAAGGACCTATATGACTAGGACTTTAGTTCCGTACCATAATAGTATCACAATTCCCTCATGCCACAACACAGAATTTTTTTTCATAAAATGATTTAAGAAGGAGAGAGGTCATCATAACAATGTCTAGAAAGTCCTATTCAAGTTCATTAAGAATGAAACAGTTTCTTGTTGTCTAAATAGATTATAATTTTTTTTATTGATATTATGTTCCACATTCAAGAATCATATCAGTGAGTCTTGTGTCCTAGGTGCCTTTGACATCATTCAATGTCTTGTTTGTTCATCAATTGCAACAAGACTAACTATTTGAATTCTCTAATGTTTCATTAACATCATATGATCCCCCTCACTGAACCTTATATTATGATATAATGCCTTTCCAAGAATTGGAAAATAGTTGTCATGATGCAACATAAAATGCAGAAGGTTCCTAAATAGTGTTAAGTAAAACAAAAGTGAAAAAGTTCTGTAGCACATAATATACACAGGCATGCATGCTCTGACAAAAGGAGAATTACTGGAATCAGCATCAACCATATCCGATCGTCAAAGCATAGGAACAAGTAAAAATTTGATTGAAGATTCACATGTGCTATGCAATAGATAGCATTGCTGAAATTTCCATGGTTCATGAATAAAAAAGGAAAAGGATGATATTATTCGAAAGGAAAATATATCGGATCGTCAAGTTGAATCCAAGCCTGTATAAAGCAACTATGACCAAAATGGGCCTCAACTAATGCATTTTGAGATATATCACCTGCAGAAGTAACTTGAGGATTACTTGCTATACAAGTCATCATATTCAGAAAGAACAGAAACCTGACGAAGACAAGGTCTCACTCCTTTCATTTTGACAGTGAATTTCTGATCAGGTTCCTGTTCCACTCTTTCCTTCTACTCTAATTTACCAGGCAATTCTATCTCAATGTTGTTTCTTCTTTCCTATTGCATTAAAAACAACTTGCTTTATTGGGTTAGGGCTGCACGAGATCTTGTTTGCTAGTATGACAAAGCCAGGTTAATTTAGTGACAGCTTTAGCATCCTACTCCTACCTACAGAAAAGAGAGTTTTAATCAAGGAATTTATGTTTCACTTATTTTGAAGTGCACTCTACCACATGATAGTGGCTCATAGTTAGTGTAATATCTCTTGAAACCAAGGATTGAAATTTTAAACCGTACCGGTATACCGAGCTTTGTTCGGTACGGTATGGTACGAGAGTACCATGCGGTATGCCAGGGTGTAACAAGCGGTACGTATATATATATATATTATTAAAAAATCTAAAAAGGAGGCGTACGCTGCCTCAGTGACGTCGCCTCCTCCTCTTCTCCTCGTCGCCTCAAACAAGGAGAAGAACGCGATCTCCTCATCTGTGGCGTTCGGCGAAGAAGGCGGCGAAGACGTCGAAGGCCGCAGATGTCTCCGGCCTTCGGCGAAGAACGTAGCGAAGGCCGCAGACGTCTTCGGCCTTCGACGAAGAACGCAACGAAGAAGAAGCCGCAGAATCGCATACGAGGCGATGAAGGAGACAGCCTCTTCTGTTGCTGTAGCCACCGCCTGGTCGTTACCTCCTGGATTGGGATCGTCGAGGGAGGGCGACGCCGGATCGGGACGCATCGAGGTTCTCTCGATTCTTCCTCTTCTTCAAACACTCTCTCTTTCTTCTTCCTTCTCCCTCGACACTTCTTTTTCTCTTGCCGCAGCCAGGCTAATATTGCCCAGTAGTAGACGGTCACGGTCGAAATCGACCGTTACCACCCGATACAACCCCATATCGTCTAATACGGGGCTATATCAAGCGTTCCGCCCGGTAGCAAGCGGTCCGCGTACTAGTCTACTGGTGGACCAGTACATACCGCCCGATACTGGCGATATCATTCGAAATTTAGAACCTTACTTGAAACTATTTAGCATCGTGTGGGTACTCATACAAACTATACTTAGAACTTAATTGAATATTTATTAGCTTATTGGCTATCTCAATTATACAGCAACAACTATGACAAGATATAAGGGCCCAACCATCTGCGGTCATCTCCATGGGTCTTTTACTATTACTAAGCTATGATAAGGGCAATATCATTAGTCAATGAGGAGACATAAATCTCCATTTATTATAGTTTTCTCAAGTCTTCTCTACCTCACCTAACACCATTAATCCTAGTTAAGCTCACCTCATCAAACAGGTGCATCTAAACATCCAACTGACTTTGGGGTTATATAATTTCGCAAAAACATGCCAATTTTTGAAAGTCTTAGCAGTTAAATGATACACAAATCTTGTTTCTAAGAACAACAACCATAAATCATGTAAGTACGGAAAAACACTAGTACTTTTGAGTATAAGGAAATAAAGGTTATTGAGATAAAAGCTAAATTAAGTTTCTTCAGAAAATTGCAAATAAGGGAAAAAAAAGAAAAGAAAGTGAGAAGAATTCAAACTACATATTTGCAAGGAAAGCTACCTTGTATATAGCATCCATAGCACCTTCCATATGATTAAAATCATTACTGGCTAAGCATCGAGCAAGAACCTGTAATAATTCTGGCCAGCCAGCAACTCTGTCTAACTGAACTAGAACACTGATAATAGTACCAACTGTAGATCGAATCGTCCTATCTGATGCCCCTAAACAAGGCAACAATTCTGACTTTATATATTGCCGATATGAAGAAGACAAGGAACTGAAAGTTGCCCTGAGATTGTTTTTCAACAGCAAACCAGCAGCTTGTCGTACTTCCAGTGATTTACCCTGGTTTAATTAAAATACATATTTCAAAGAAGTTAAAATGCTGCAAACATTAATAGATGATGAACTGCCATTTCAAAACCAGGATTTTAACAACATGGAGTGATAAAAAATTATTCAGTAGCTGTACAATTCAAGTTGTAGTTAATTCAGCAATGGAAATTGATTACTCTGAAAGAGAACCAAAAGGACAAAGGCATGTAAAATGTGAGGAAGTCATTCAGAAGTACAAAAATAAAAAAAGCAAACACACACAATCAACTAAAATCCCACCAGCAAATTCAACATGTAACACCTGAAAAATGAAGCTAGTGCAAAGAACAAAAAATGAACTTGCCTTCAAATTCACCTTTAGATTTCATAAAGCTACACCTTCCAGGAAAAAAAATACTGTCATCTACCAACCTCTTGTACAACAAATACTGGAGTACTTAATTGACTCATATAATGTGCATCAAAGAACCAAATCACTTTGATATACCTTGCTCATCAATTCTTCAGCTTCAAAAACCCATGAAACTACTTTTGACCAATGCACTTGTATAGTTCATCAGCACGAATTAACCATATGTATAAACCTTTTTCAAAAAAGTGGAAAAAACTTACTGCAAGATCGTGAAACTAATTCCCTTCATCTTTTCAAGAACCAGGAAAAAGATTCCAGCAATTTGATTATAAAAATTGAACTCTTTGCTTTACGTTAATAATACTTCAAAGACTAAATCCAAAATATTAACTTGAGATAAAAAGTAAATTAAACATGCGTAAAAGTAATAAACTGTCACAGAGAAATTTAGTCCAATCAAACACCTGATAATTGTCTCGCTGAAAAACTTATGCCTCTGTGCCAAATTCACAGCTAAACCAAATGATCCAGAACAAAATAAACAAATACAAAGATAAAATCCTCTAGTTTGGTCCATCATCTTGAGAAATTATATAATTTTTGAGCCAAATATCCTATAAAATATTATCAAATTTGTAAATTTTATCATTTAAAAAAGAAGTTGCTCATGGCTCAACTATCATTTGGTCAATAAGATGCAGGTTTTCTAATGGATTGGTAACTCTGGTAGGATATAAGCCAACTGACAAATCTAGTAAGCATTGTACTAGTATTGCATTATGTTGAAACACCACCTTACCAAGAGTCCAAGACCATGTTGTTACCGTATCTAAAACTGTCACAAGAACCCCATGCAAAACCTAGCTCAAATCACTCTCTAATCACATTGTCTTCCAAGTTGCATAACTGTAAACCATATTACCATCTCATCTAAGAACACCAAAATCACCAAACCTCATAATAATGAAGAAAAAAACACACTAAATATGAGGTAATAAGTATATTCTATCTCTACTTTTTATCCACCCATTTTCCATTTAGGCCTCTAAATTCCAAATTTTCATTCAATATAAATATCTAAAAAAAATCATATCATTTTTATTGACTCATCATAAAAAACACACTAAATATGAGGTAATAATTATACTCTGTCTCTGCTTTTTATCCACCCATTTTCCATTTAGGCCTCTAAATTCCAAATTTTCATTCAATATCAATATCTAAAAAAATCATATCATTTTCATTAACTCATTGTCAACTAATCCATCTTTACTATTAAGGTCTGGACATATCAACTAGTTTTCTTAGCATTCTTTAATATTTTAAGCATTACACTTCATTCTTAGCCTAAAGCTTAAGTTCATTGAAGAAAATTAATGTTTAATATTTTCCCATATTCAAATCACAAGTTTCCTTCTAGATCTTGTTTATAGACCACTACATGATATTACATCAACACAATGCATGTTCTCTAGCCAACAAGCAGATGCCCATTTAGTTGTATCTCTTCCCAAATCCCAAAGCCATTCATGCTTCTCTTCTAAGTGCTCATGCCATGCCTATTAACGATAGCACAACGTATGTAATCATGATTAATTGATACTATTAAGTTAGACCAGGAGGTTGACATATGATATCAGGCTTTGAGACAATAACAAATGAGTTGAAAATTTCAGTTTTAAGTTTCTGATGAGGCTGTATACCAATGGAAACAAAATGACTATAGGAGGTTGACACATAATATCATGATTCTGCTTCACCACAAAACATAAAGCTCAATCATTACTTCAAAGCCATTTTTTTCTGAATCTTTTGTACCACTAATGCATGATTTTTGTAGCAAGGCTCTTGGGTCTCCCCGAAGCGGAGGCATGCTCAGTAAGAAAACAGAAGTTCTATCCCTCCTCAAACTTACAGCAGGTCCCCATTCATTTAACTTTAAGTTGCAGTCACATTATTCTCTGACATAAAATTGAATTTCAGAAGGTGCTTGATTGTTTGCAAAACTGAGATTGCAAGCATCCAATTAAAAGAATGAAGCAGCTAATAAAGGGAATTACAGCTGCATTCGCCATTCCATCTTGCAACCATAACCTACAAAACTTCTTACAGATAGTTTGGTCACAGATATGCACACTAGAAGTTGGGTTCTGACCTTTGCATTTGCAAATGCAACGCAACCCCAATTATGGACAAAAAGAAACACATACAACGAAGAACACCTCCAGAGAATTCTTTCACAACCATCCAAGAAGACCTTCAGAGCATTCTTTCACAACCACAAGCTACCCAAGGGGAAAAACAATATTAAACTACATGCCCAAAGATGACTGCAACATGAAATAGAAGGCAGCCAACAGTTGAAAGGGAAAAAAGGTAAGATAACTCTGCATGCTTGCTTAATTTCAAAGAGGAACTTCTGAGTTTAGTAGATTTCCTCTAAGGAATACTTATACTTTGATTCTCATATTAAATCACCCTTTCTTTTTCTTTTTCTTTTTTTCCTTCAGGTAAGAGATGTGGGTGCCCTTTCAACAGTGCCACTTGAACCACCGACGGATGAAATCGATGACAATCAACTGAGATATAAGAAGCAGGCAATTCAACGATTTTTTGATCAAAAAATGATTTACTATCAACCTCGGTTGTCACATGTTCCTGCCATATCATACCTCTTGGTGGGAACAAACCATATAGTAAAACCCTCCAAACCACCAATACAACAAACGTCAAAGAGGTAGCAAAGGCCGCCATGCGCAATAAGCAAACGACCAAGAACAAGAAATAATCATGCTAAATAGGGAAACAAGAAGAAGAAGAAGAAGAATTAGAAGACCTCGGCGTGGGCGAGTATGAAGACGAGGTAGTTGTTGAAATCGGGGAGCTGGTTGTAGTGCTGGAGCTGCTGCCAAATCCGGGATTGATCGGAATTGGGGGAGATGTGCTGCTCCAGAAGGCCGCAGATCTCGCGGAGCCCCTCCTCTCGCGGCTGCCACAGCGCCGTCGCCTCTGCTGCCATCGCCCCGCCGCCACCAACCGATTCAAGCCAAGCCAAGCGAATCTAATCGAATCGAACGAAGGCTGGACGAGGATAAAAAAGCTGGAATTGCTACCGGGGAGGGAAGAGGAGGTGGAGAAGCGAAAGGAAAAGGATTGATAGGAATCAGAAGCCGATGTCGTCGAAGAGAGACGACGTGTGCGTGGAAAAAAGCCGGGCTTGGGTTTCAGAGGTGGATCGAGGAACGGTACATGGTAAAAGAGAGGTGTATGGAAGGGTAAAATAGTAAAAATAGGATTACGGCGGCCGATAGAGAGCTAGGGCTGCAATTTGGGTTGGACTCAAATGGATTAGGTTCGAGATTTTGGAACTCCAGTCCTAACCATTCGTGGACTCGCAATTCGTAGGCTCAAATCGAGTCGCCTTACGGCTGAGACGAACCAACAACTCAAGCTTGACCGAATTCGATTTTTTTTATTTATAAAAAATTTAAAATATATGTTTATTATATTAAATAATGTATATAAAGTGCATGCATGAATTGGAATATGAAACTTATCATCTCGTATGACGATGCACAAATCTATCTATCTATCTATCTAATTTGACATATATGATCTTCCATAGAATTTAAATCATATGGAGGATCATTCATTGCCTCGTTTACTCTCGTCACAATGAATCGGAGATGTGTATTGGCATTCATTTAGTATAATATATACGTTACATGAGGCACATAAAATCAAAATTATGTAGCTAATTTTGCTCGATGATTGAGATTAATTTAGTGACACATGACTCCGTTCGACTAGACTTAATCTAAATGTATGTATTCATATTTATCCACATCCAATTGTCATAATCCATTAAAAACCAAGAGAGATTTAACAGAAATTATAAATAAAATGTTAAATTCTTAAACCAAAAATATTGTTTTGTACAGGATCTCATGTTTGAATCGTTGTGATATTATGATCGTTAAAGAAAACTGGTTTGTCATTTGATGAAAATATGCATTAGAATTCACACAAAAAATATGAGATGTCATTACTTAAAAAAGAGCGATTAAGTATAAGTTGGCCAAAAATAAGCATGGCTCGATAATAAAAAAAATAAAAAATAATAATTATGCAAATGCATGGCCAAACTAACATCAATCTATTCAAGTGTTAACACAAATCAATTATTCCTAGTGTGACATTATATACGGAAGTCAATTATACATTATATATAAATAAAATCTCTTATGGACTAAACATATGTGACGAGACGGATACATAATCACGAGACGAGGATACGTGACAATCATGGTTTCTCTCTCATTCTCTCTTATCCTTAATCCATCGATTATAGTGATCCTATGAAAATATAATAAGAGAGGAGAATATGATTCTAATTCTTTTTTTAGATCGAATTATTGTGATTTTTCGAATTCGATGATAGTACTCCTACAGATCAGATAAAAATATTTTTAGATGATATCGAAAGGTACGTATCATAAATATGATCTATTGTTATTTGATTTCAATGAAAATTTTTACATGTAACATATAGCATATTATAGTTTTTATGCTTCAAAACTGAGTTTCTTGAAATCAAATACCTTAGATCCAATTTTTTATTTTTTTTCCATCAATCTCTTTCTTTGAACATGAATCCATGGATCATATGTATGATCGTAATGTAACGCCCCGATTTGATTTATATCAAAAATGGGTTAAGACTCAAATGACTTATAAATATACAATGGATATAATATAATGATATTATAACTATTTTGAATCTAAGCTAGCTTAGACTCGACTCAATGAAATTAACATCGACCTAATATTTAGATATACTGAGAAGCTTAAGTAGAAAATGACTAAAGTATATCACAAGAAGCTATTTACATTGAACCCCTTATGTGAGGTGTTGCCCATGTTGTACATTCATCATTGGATGTTTCGAGGTCAACCATAAGTAAAAGGCAAATCCGCGTAAGAAAATAACTAAAAAAATTCTCTCTCTAAACTTGCCAATCATCATTGGATGTTTAAACAAATCAATCTCGATATATAAATACACAAACCGACCTACTTTATTTAAAAAGTAAGAGAATGGCGATCTCCTCTAAAAGAGTGTCCGAAATCTAATACCAAAAATGGACTCATCGTTCCAGTACTTAATCGCAACCCTGCATGCACAAAATTGCACAAGTTTTCTACCTAAGCCTCGTCAAAAAACACACACTCGATAGAAAAAAATTTTAATATGTTCGTAAGTAGCTAATAACGACAAGAATAACGAATTCGATAAATATTTTTTTTTTTTTACCATATATGACCTGTGGCCATGAAAGGCTGGAGTTCCCTCCCTCTTTAGATGCAGGGGATGTGAGTGCAACTCAGGGTTTCAACAACTAGCTCGAGAAGATGAAAGAGAAACCATATTCGAAGCTTTCATATAGGACAAGGATGTATCAGGAGAGAAGGTAATCGCCTTGCCCCATAATCAAAATAATGTTATAATGTGGGTATTGCTGCAAAATGCTATTGTTATTGGTGTTTTCTTTCTAACGTAAATGTTCTCTTACATGGATGAGCTAATAATATGTGCAGACCTTCAAGGTTCTCTTCCACTAAATATGATTCCAGGATTCCTTTAGCTCTCCAACCTGGCGTTTTCAGCTGGATGCTTGCGCAGAAGCTCGACTTCATCTTGTTGGCTTCTAGTACTGCACATAGTGAACTAGATTTTAGCTTTGGTTATTCAAGTCATGATCATAATACATTACATTCATCAACACAACTCTTCTAGTAGAATCGTAATTCTTGTTGGTGCTAACTTGATTATATTCTGATACCATCATTAGGATTCGCATCGATTCCTACCATCATCAGAAAGTTTCACTTTGTCCACTATGCTTGAGGACTGCTCAGCCATGATTAATTTGATGCACAATAGGATTACACAGGTAATCCATCTTTCTCCTAAGTATTACATAAGTACTACAAGATACACAGGTAATTTCGTTCCATAAGTATTACATCATAAGTACTACAAGATACACATAGTATCTTAGACCTATCAACCGTGCAACCATACTGTATCAATCTGTCCGAACGATTCAGTGGCATCACTCAACTTAAATTCCAGAAGCTAAACTTAATGTTGGATTATGCGCACAACCTACACAGTCTCGTTTCTCTCCGTAGGACCTGATCTTGTTCCTTGTGAGTATAAACTTCATGGACAGTAACGATGTTCCCAACTTCACATTTCTCATGTTCTAATTATTGATCTGAAGCCTTCACTAAAACAAGATGTGAAAGTGCTCAACATCTTCAACATCAGTTTCACAAGCAAAACCTCCTAGTAACTTTTGTGCTGAATTCTATTTCATAATATGATTGTAGACCTAACAACTTTGTATCAGACTATTCCAAAATGATGCCCAGAAACAAAGCACTTAGTGCACTGTAAATGTTGCATGTGCATTCTTACTGCACCATGCACCATGATTAAGTAGGTGAGGATAGGAAAGGTATCGTTCTCACCTGCTTACAATTCAGTCCTCTGCATCCACTGCACCTCCCTTGAGGTGCAAGTGCTTCTCCCTCTTCTGGAACTCTGTCAGTCCCTTCCCGCTGCCGGTAACACCAACCTTGCCCCTAGGATCATCTGGGGACTTAAAGATACTCTCTCGCTTGCGGCCTGAGAAGAACCCAATCTGCAACAGCGAGGACACGAATCAAGATCTAATCATGATGTGTCACCCTGAAATGGATGAATAGAATGGTGACCACACCAAGGAGAAAGCAAAAGTATGAAAATGGAGTCCTAATTTTCACCTTCTTAGTTTTTCCTTTGGTAGACTGGAATTGCTGCCAAGCATTCTGGCGCTTGTTTTGTGCGACTTCCAGTTGTTCACTCCGAACCTTCGACTTGAAGGCATGTATTTTCTTGCGCTTAGTAGCTTTCTGCCAACACATATCCAGATGAATCAAGTTGTAAACATCATTGCAAGAACACAATGAACAAGATCCTTGCTTAAAAAGACTCCACGCTAGAAGAGCCAGCAGAAAACAAAAAGAGGAACCGACAGTTCAAATGAAGGATTACTTGCCTCCACATTCACGGCAACTCCATTTGCCATATATGGATTTAAGCATTTAGATGATATAAATTAAATTTCCAACTAAGTAACCCATCATAAATTTCCACTTCTACACCCACTGACCCACCAGTGCCCTTTATCTTCAATTTTCACATGAACAACATACAATTGCAGGTGGCATCAAATTGTATTTAATCATTTTTTCTTGCTGCTATGGCTTAAGGACACAAATATATTTTAGGATTTTAAATATTACAATGACCACTTCTGGTGTTTCCAAAAGAATATCTAGTTTGAAGGAGGTAAAAGGCCCAAAAGGCATTAGGATGGGATCATTTATGTAACAGAAGATACAGTATAATGAACGAAATTTGTCTTTAGAAAACACACAGTTGCTTAGTTCTACAGATTATTGTGAGCAGCTGACCAATTTTACTCACCACATCATCTGGATCATTGGGATCAATACGAAGTTTTGCAGGCAAGGTCCGTGCTTGAAAGTCAGTTATAGCAGATTGTGCAATTTTTCTTTTGATGGCTTGTCTGGTAGCCTCAGCTTCTCTTTCAGCTTCCAACAAAGCATCACCCTCTTCAACTGGCCTAACATTAGCATGATCCACCTGAAAGCAGCATCAGCAACAATCATCATGAGTTAAGATTATTGCAGTTGGTTAACATAAGCAAAATAAATGCTCAAAACATAGTAATACAACAGAAGTGACGCCTTGTTTACCAAGAAAATGATAAAGAAGACCTATTTCAAGAGCCAAAAGATCCAAATCATACAATACTGTCAAGTTGAGAACAGTACTGTGGACTGGAGGATGCTAAACAAGGAGATATGTCATCATGGAGTTCAACATATCATAAATATGATCAAGCAAATTGCATCAAGTTGTAAGTGACAAAAATAACCACTTCATAACAAAAAATATGACAGCTTCATAAGCCAAATAAAAATAATTCAAGAACCAAAATATTCAGATCCTACAATATGGTCAAGTTGAAAACAGTAGAACAAGCTAGAGAATGCTAAACAGTTAGATACGTCGACATAGAGTTCAACATATCATATATATAATCCAGCAAATTACAACATGTAAGTGACAAATACTGTCACTTCACAGTATACAAAA